TCAACCTTTGCAGTGACCATATGAGATGTATGCTTGACCGATATTGCTTCCTCCTATTTTTAACAAGACGAAAGTAATATTCTAATGTATTATTTACCTTGGCGCCTCCAGCGCGAGCACTACTCGCCGCCTGCCTCGCCTTATTATTAATTCATGTTTATTTGACCCGAAAGTTTCGACTGCTGCAGTGCCAATGTAAATGCTCCGAAAATATTTACATGAATAAACTGAAATAATTATTGCTCGACTTTTGCTCAAAGAAAGCCTCCACGATTATTCTCTACATTCTCATTCATGCATTCATGGTGTTTGTTTGCTTTTTTAAAAATAAACCGAAAAACCAAAAAATTAACGTACGCGCAAGAATTTGAAAAAAATAAAATAAAAAGAATAACTCTATAAACCATCATTTAGTATGATGATTAGTCGTTGAGGTGTGCACTAAAAATCAGATTGGCATATATCGATAATTAATCAAACTAAGCATAGAAATTAGCAACCGTCAACTGTATCTCCACAGGCACGCGCGCCTAGCATTATCGGTAGTGAGTTTCGTAGAATTGTCGATAAATATTGCCTCATAAAAGCTATGTTATATTCATCCTTTTATGAGAGAGTCGCGCCAACGAACTGAGTGTTAGCGAGATACGCAAATATGCTCCTATTACGAGGAAGGAAAAAACTCAGAAAGAAGAAAAAAATTCGAGTGACAAATTGAAAAGCTTGCGCACATTGATTGATCAGAGTTGTCAATCGAAATGGAAAGATCCCCCTACCAGAGACGCGCAATTAAGCTTCAGTACACCAATCAGCTACTGCTAGTGAAGGTTTTTTCGGGCACACGAGTAATTAAGCTCTCGCGCTCCGACAAGAGATGCCTTGACGTTTATTAATCACATGTGCCTCGCTCATCAATCTTCTCTTCTGCCGGAACATCAATCGATCGTTATGCGTGTCCGCAGTGATAACGCTGCGATCTTATGTCAAGGAGTGTGCGACGACCAAGTAATCAGCCGTGCTGAGGAGAAGGAAATAAGTCTCGATAATTTCGGCTTAATCGCATTGTCACGTAAGCCTAATACCACATACGCTCACTTCCACTTTTGTCAAAATAGAAAACTTGCTTTTTTATCTAACTGCTGATTTGCTATCCCTGTGATGGCATGAATTATGTTTCTTCTACTCTGCCGAAGAGATACTACAAGTGTAATTATATTTCTTTTGTTCGTCTGTACAAATAAAATAAAATTCGATTATAACGGCGAGATTTTCATTTTTTATTCATATTTGATTGACTTGTCGATAAGTTGGAATCGCGGGCCCATTTAATTCTCCATATTTGCTTTTCACAGATTAAATTACTTAACTTATGAACTCACCGAATGAACGTTTAAGTGAAACTGCACGAGGGCTAAGTTCATACATTACGTACGAATTACTACGTACGAATCAATAGGATTCGAGAATAAAGTCTCGTCAATCCTCGATTATTTGAAATTAATTTGTTGAGAGAAAACGTAAACTTTAGTTAACACCATTTAATCTTAACGTAGAATAGTGCCTTCAAAAAACAATATTGTTCGAATTGCAATATTGTTCCTATTGCATTAGTAATCAAATACAATAAGAAAAACATTCATCAATTCGAGCTACGCATATATGTACGTTAAATATTAACATATTGCTTGAAAATAAATATTAAACACGTACATCAGAAATGTATATTAGATAATTTTAACGAGCTTTAATGCCACTAGTCTCAGAAAATAAATTTGATTCGGAATATGAATAAAACCTAGAAAGCAAAACTTTCTCAAATATTCATTCGAGGTCCTTCGGAAGCTAACGGGCCCATTGATCTTTACCTAACACACGGAAAGGAGAGTGTGGCGTTGGCGTTTATTGTGCAAACTAATAAATCCTAAAACTCATTGTATTATTAGACAGAAGGAAAAAGACCGGGAAAAAGTCGAGCGATTAATAGGCCGAACAGAAGTTTATCATCTGCGCGTGATGGCCCATTCGTTTCGATAGCCTTCCATTCTCTCTCTCTCTCTCTCTCTCTCTCTCTCTCTCTCTCTCTCTCTCTCTCTCTCTCTCTCTCCCTCCCTCTCTCTTGATCTCTCTTTCTCTCTCTCTCTCTATGGCCACGGCTCGCTTCATTTTTTACTATTTGTCCCTCTAGTGCGAGCTCACTCGCAGTTCCTTTTTCCGATAATTTGACGTTGAGCTATGCGCTGACGTATATTGTAATATGGATTCTGCTTCCGCGCAACGGTACCTTAATCTTCTTACTGCGTCGTTGTGGTGTTCCATCTAAATTAGATAGGAGAATTGTTGGCAGCTAATAAAACACCGATTACCTAGAATAGATAGCGTAATTGAAAATAAATCGCTCGAGAAAAAGAAGACCAAGGAAGTCTCTCTCTCTTTCTCTCTTCTCTCTCTCTCTCTCTCTCTCTCTCTCTCTCTCTCTCTCTCTCTCTCGCTCTCTCTGCCAATGGATTTGGATCCCTTTTTTGCAAGCTCTCAGCACGCGCAAGAGACGAAAGAATATTACGTAATCACGAGGAAAGGATGGATTTATTTTTGGTGAGTGGAGATTGCAAGCTATCAATCAGGAAGTTTATTCTGGAACATTGTCTATACGTTCACTATTATTTCAAGACAATTTAGAACCTTGTGATAATAATCTAAGCCTGCCACAATACATCTCTAAGACATTTCTCTGCATTTTCCATGAATTGTTAAAATATACTATAAAATAAAATGACTAGCATACCTTCGTAAATATACTCTTAGTAATAAAAATTGTTTCTACGATTATATTTGTCAGTTCACCATGACTCTTCCATGATAAACGTGTTTCAATCGCTAATGTTAAAAATCAATTAAAAATTGGCAAAACAGTATGTTCCATTCTTCACAGGCAAGCACTCGCCCAATAATTTCAAAATATATAAAAGCTCGGCTTTAAGCCATTATACATATGAAGTGTCCCCTTCACTATAAGACGTTTACTACCTCTTTTGACCCTCTACGTCTGTCCTCTTTCTCAAGCTTGGTATTGTATGTCAAAGGCCAAAGCTTGTGACGATCAAGCTTTTTAAATTGACTCTTATGTGTATACCGACAACCACGAAATTTTTTTAACAATCTAGGTAATTCTATTATTATTATTTTTAGACGCCATAAAGCTTTGAACTGTTTTTAATTAGAGCCAGAAAATAATAACAAAATAAATAAATAACTGTTAAACGTTCCCTTTTGCCGAAAAAATAGATAGGGGAGCAGGCAGCAGTGGCTTTTGTACGTGGTAAACGTGAAAGATCTCTCTCGAAACATTTAAGCTCAATTTAACTCTCACTTCAGCGCTGCAGTAACTGCAAATCCATTATTTTCTCAGAGCGACGGAGAAAGAGAGAGAAAGGGAAAGAGCTCGCAGCATGCGCGTCTTTGATAAACATAAACAAAGCAGCTCGCCCGTTTGGATAACAAAGCCGGCGCCGGACCAACTCTCAAAAGACATCGTCTGCCCATTAGCACCAAGTCGAAGCGTCGTTGTGGTCTTTGTACTCTGCGCTCGAAGATCGTTTGATGTGGTTTTATTTAACCGACTCGCGGACATCATCTTTCGCGCGCGACGTAACCATCGATAAAAAGTTATTCTTATTCATATAACCTACAAAGCGACAAATTGAACTCAAAAAACTAAGCGGAATAATATATTTTACCCCGCGATCATCCATACTGTCTCCTCACTATAAGTGTACACTTGCGCCCCAACGCTCTCTTCTCACTCTTCGTTTCGTTGAGTGCGCAAGTCAGATGAAGTTTACTTGAAAAAGTTCAAAGCGCCCGCAGAACGCGTCAGAATATCTTGTCGTATTCGTAATTGCTGTTTCTAGATTATCACTAGAGAAAGGAAGGAAATGCAGTTGCGCGCGGAGTGAACGAAAGTAATAATTAATGAAAAAGTTACACAAAGTTGTGTTTTTCCGTCGGAGGAATGCTCTCTTTTAACGAGAGTTTTACAGTGCTTTTAGAGTTGTAATCGCTTTCCGACACATGCAATACGATCGTTATGCAATATTTGGTATTTTTATCTTTTTAACGCGTGACTTAAAAAAAATTAAGCAATATATGATCATATAAACTATGGATCGATCAAATTGCATATTTCTTATCGTTATCGCGTAATACTAAAAATTTAACAAGACATTAATTACGTTAAGACTTCATCATGAAATTATTTTCGCACGGAATGCAGTTCACGTGCTTTAACACTCAGTTGCAAACAATAACCTTATCCTACCTTAACAAAGATAAGGTGTCTAACGGATAATTCGCTTATCATTTGTAAAATAGCTGCGCTGATTGCTCGAGGGACTTTAAAATCACAGCTCTTTGCGTAAATATAATGCCGCGCGTGAATAGCGCTTATAACGAATATTCCTCTCATCCGCGATAAAATGAATATTCAAGCGCGTGAGAAGCGGGTGTCTTCTTCTTTGCCTTCGTTGTGAAAGTTTAATCGAACTAATAACTGCTACGCCACCCGTCACCTAAAAACCATCAGATGCTCTTCATTCTTTTTCCCATATGAATTCGCGTCGAAGGTTTATTCTTTGAATTGTGCAGTAGGCGTGTCTAGCGCATGTGCGCGTAATATTTTTACGCTTCGCAGGGAAGAAATGATATATATCAACCCACTTCTCGCTTGAATTAGCCACGTAAAAGTGTAAGGCAAGTTGCAGCTGGTTCATTTTTAATTTTTTTTGACGTAAAACTTCTTATTTTCTATCATACTATATAATGGTAGGTGTATGCTCTGAATTATCATTTTTTCAGGTCTTATAACGGTATTTCTCACACGCATAACTGAAGTAATCTTATGAGAATATTTTACGGTCATATAACCGGATAAACGTATTTCGAATGACAGACAACACCAAAATAAGCAATCATCTAAGACGTCAAGAAATAAAAAAATAACTCACCTTCATCATCAATGCTAAACAGTCCAACACCATCTCCACCTCGAATACTGTATCCAATCCTGGAGTCACCACCCGGTGGATCAGCATCTTTAGCCTTAACTTGCGTCACGTGCGTACCAATAGCTTGATTCTCAGCAACACTAGCAGCCACGACAAAGTCGGCAAACACCGGCGTATTGAGATTCTCGTTGTCGTCAACAACTTCGATGATAAGTATAGTTTCAGAGCTAAGTTTTGGTTCGCCTTTATCGTGAGCGATGATCGTAAGGGTATGTACTTGTCGTTCTTCGAAGTCAAGTTTCTGCGACGTTCTAACTGTACCAGATTGCTTGTCGATATTGAAGAAATTTTCATTCTCGGTCTCATCAGAAAAACTATACTCCACGATGCCGGCAGGGCCGTCGTCAGGATCAGTTGCTTCCACGATTGCTACGACACTCCAGACAGGCACATCCTCGCGTACTTTGACAGTGTAGCTTGTGAGAGCGAATTTTGGTGCATTATCATTAACGTCGTCGATGAATATCCTCACCAAAGCCTCGGAATACAGCGCGGGACTATCCAAGTTAGGTTCGCCTTGATTTCCACCACCTTTATCAGTTGCGCGTATCCTCAACTCGTACGATGCTTGTCTCTCGCGATCTAGTCTTCCAAACACTGTTAATACACCTACGCTTCGGTCGACTTTGAAATCATTGGTGTCGGTAACCAGTGAGTAAGTGATCTTTGCATTATCACCCAAATCGGCATCAGTGGCATTCGCTCGGAATATAATTGTCCCATTGAGTGTATTTTCGGAGATTCGATAACTCGCCAAAGCTTTCTCGAACTTGGGTGCGTTATCGTTGACATCAATAACGGTAACAGCAAGCATTCTCGAGGCTGATTTTTGAGGTTTGCCAAGATCGTAAACCGTGATGTTTAAGAAATACTCACTTTCCCTTTCTCTATCCAGATGCCCAATAAGTCGCAATTCTCCTTTATCCGGGTCAACGCCAAGAACTGAGTCACTATCACCAGCCGATATTCCGAATACAAGTTTACCATTATAGCCAAGATCACGATCACGAGCAACAAGTCTCGCCAGTACAAAACCAATCGGTGCGGATTCGTTGACACGTATCTCGTTAGGGAACTCGACAAATTCGGGTGAATGTACGTTCTCGCCATATCGACTTGGCATCATTGTGTACTCGTCATCTCTTGATGGCATGTTGCTCTTTTCGGCAGCGGCGATCGCTTCGGTCAATCTTCTCGCTACTCCAGTATCGCGACATTCGAACGAACCGGTTTCATCAGCCAAAATCTTCGTTTGCGTGCTTCTCTTCACGTTTACCAAATTAATTCTTAATGAGTTGACGTCGGCGAAGTGCGTACCATCGGTTGCTGTTACGTTGACTACGCGCTCGGAACTTTTTAGATCGGATAAGTCGCAGGCAACCGACAGTACACCACTGGTCATGTCCAGTGAGAAACATCCATCATCGTTGCCTGATGCGATGCGGTAACTGATGATGTTACCAGCATCAAAATCGATTGCCGATACCGTGATGATTTCCGTACCTACAGGCACGAATCTGCTGACGTGTCCAACACAGTCGATCTTTTCAAATTGTGGCCTATTGTCGTTGACATTCTTCAATTTGATTTTTAATTGCATCTCGCTTTGTCTTCTATACGGCAATCCCCAATCATTTGCTCTCACTCGTAACAAGTATTCTTTCTTCATAGTCTCGTAGTCTAACAGTTGCTTGGTACGTACAATTCCCGAAAAATGGTCGATTTCGAAGGGCACTTTCTTAATATTGTCAATGCTATAGGATATGTAAGCATTCTCGCCGGAATCCTTGTCTCTCGCCACGACTTTCACAACCGACGTACCTGCAGGTTCGTTCTCATCCAAATACAATAACATTTCGGATCGTTCGAATTCAGGATCATTATCGTTGGTATCTATCACGTAAATTTTTACTTTCGCCGATGACTGTTTCCTTGTGCCAATGTTACCCTGATCCACCGCCGATACGGTCAATGTGTAAAAAGCCTTCTTCTCGAAGTCTAGATTTACCGCGGTGTACAGCATTCCAGTATCAGCATTGACATAAAACTCGCCACCTTTGTTGCCCCCAACGATTTCCAAAAAGACCAGAGCGTTCTTCCCTTCATCGGCATCGGTAACTTTCAGTCTTATCACGGGACTATTGATCGGCGTAGTTTCCGGAACCTTTACTTCGTAAATCTCACGACTGAAGATTGGCGCATTGTCATTTAAATCCGCCAGATGTACAGCCACAGACTTGTAACTAAACCTCGTTGGTGTACCTTTGTCCAATGCTTTCAAAGTCAGATTATATCCTTGTGGTGCTGTCTCGCGATCTAATAATTTGAGTACTTGAATACAGTACTCGCCGGGTATATCGTTAGGTCGAATTCGAAAATGACCGTCTGGATCGCCGGCTATAATGTCCAACCTAGCGATCTCGCCGTGAATACCTTCATCGCGATCGACCACACGAACGATCGCGTACGTATCGGCATTCGAATTTTCCATGATTTCCGGTAAAGGACGTATCGTAATCTCAGGCGCGTGCAGGTTCACCTGGCGTACGTGGATTGTCAAGCGGGCACTGCTCGCTTTTGGACTGCTGCGGTAGCGCGCGCCCCTGTCGCGTGCCAGCACCGTCAGCTCGTACATTGGACGCTCAATGTACCTGTGAAAAGAATTCAGTAGTTATTAAATAATCTTGAGCATGTAGTGATGAAGTTGTTCTCCATAGACGTAAATCGCCAATCAAAAATTAAACATGTGATTTATAATCGTCAACGTGGATAGATTTTCACGGAGACAAAATAATAAAATCTATTTTAATTAAATGCAATATCGATTTCAAGTAATGAAACGTAATGCAACTAGGTGTAGTTGAATAAAAAACCAAATTTTCAACAACACGTTGCAATGTGATCAAATGGTTACTTTTTAGTTCGTCAGCTCAATTCAATGAAAACAGAATTGAACTTATCATCATCAACGTGAGATATATTAATCTCACTCGCACTTGTGTTTTTATATAAATGCAATATAAAATGCAATATCGACAAAAATTCCGTCAATACAATGATAAACAGAAAAACTGAAGCATCCATTAACGTAATTACTTTTCATCTTCGATTTCGCGTCATTTTTTTCATAGGTCACGCGCATGGGTGTTATACGCGTTCAATGCAGCAGAATTATGTAAGTGTGGGTGAGCGCCGGCCGTATATTTGTTGGTGTTCGGTCTGCCCGGCATACATATTCTATATCGCGTATATATACGTCACACCGTTAATAAATCCACGTAACGATATTTCTTCGCAGCAAATTAAATGATACAGTACACTCACTGGTGTAGCGAAAAATTCGGTTTTTCTCCCTTCTCTGTTCACGTTGTGTTACGAATAGTTGCCTCGAGATTTTATGCTTTGTTCTGTTACATATTTTGTCGTTGAACAGCAACAATATATATGAAGATTACGTGCTTTATGACTAATTGAATTTCTCCTTTGTTCAAACGTTACTACGCTAAAAACGAACAACACATAGCGATCGATATAATTCGACCTTCCTCTCTCGAGAGATGGCGCATGTAACAAGAACGTAAGAAAAAAACTTTTGTTACTGCGAAATAAGAAAAATAACGAGCTTGAATATGGTAGTAAGGTAAAGCTCAAAATGAAGTTTACCGTCGTGTAATTTTATCAAAGTTGTTACGCGTGAAAAGTTCTATCGACATATATACCTGAGTGGCCTAGTAAGGGTGACAACCCCACTGACAGGATGTACAGCAAACTGCTGGTTCTTGTCGGCAAAACTATAATATATCTCTCCATTTCGACCGAGATCGGCATCCTCGGCTGTGACCTTAACGATACTCCGATGAATCTGTGTATCCTCGGGAATATTGATTTCGTAAACTGTCGGATAGAACAACGGATTGAGATCGTTGGTGTCAGTAATCATTACCGCAACTGTTGTTTGCGTCTCTAGCAAACTTATACGATTCTTCGAATCATATTTTCTGGCAGTGGCGCGTATTTCCAAATTGTAAAGATCCTTTCTCTCACGATTGAGAACGTCGACGTTACCGGTGCGAGTGCGAAGTTGAAGAAAGCAAAAATCACCGACAACGCGCTCCTCAGCTTTGAAGAACTTTTCCTTGTCACCCAACACTATACGGTATTTTATTTCCTCGAGATGTTGATTCCTGCGTAGCTGTATACCCATCTTATCGTCGGGTACCACGTACGTTTTACCCATCGAATTTTCGGGTATGTTAGCATTGTAGTGTTGCGAGGTGAATTTGAATTCTTCATTATTGCGGTAACTGTTGCGTGGCGAGGACGTTGTAGCAATGAAAGTGCTGCTAGTCGGCACAGCAAGGTTCAACACGATTGGTAAATCTTCCTTGAGGACTACCGGATCGATTGTTAGAAGGAGAAGGAGCCAGAGGGCCATCAGGTCTCGAGACGCCCTCTTCTTCGTCACTCCCATGCTTTTAGCTAGCTCATCGTTTTTGATAAGTCGATCACGACGACGATGATGCTGATAACGATGATAATGATGATGATTTTTGCTCACGGCGATCGCTTATTCTTCTTAAGCTCATCTGTAAACAGAAAGTCAATAAATTCGATTTAGGATCAATTTTGTAAATTTGTAAAATATTGAATGATTATAGATGTTAATCAGATGGATTTCAAAACGTTTTTTTGTTAATGAAGTAATCAAGAAATAACAATTTTAGGATCCTTCACAAAGAGCTTGAAATTTTATGTCTAAAAATACGAGAGACAGAAAATTGGTAAATTTAGAAATCCACCTTAAAATATCAATTAATTTATCATACCGGTGCTCGCGCGCATTCGTGAGTTCATCAAACAGATAGTACTATGTAATATTCTTATGCAATCTGTTTATCGATACATACAACTAAATATATTTTTGAGATTGTAATTATACTACTCGATAATATTATAAATTAATCTCTGGATAGGAACGTGCTGAATTTCACATGAGAGAGAGAGAGAGAGAGGGGGGGGGTCTAATTAATTTTGAAAAATATTACCGTTTGTTATTCCATGTATATAATTTGAATCATTTACAAAGTTAGCACCGAAATATACGCCATGCCTGGGGATGTATTGCAATGCTAAGGGCGAAGTGCATCCTAACAATGTTGATTTGTCAAATCGATGAGGATGTATGCGCTAATTGATTAAAGGCAGGCAATACAGCGATTTACTGTAATTGATGCTTACAAGTTAAACTACCCTTAAACATTATTAGATCGCCGAACTAGAAGTGTCATTGCCCATTAAGAAAATTAGCCACGTGCTGTAGACCTGTTTCGTGTGCAGTGGATGACTTGTATCGGAACCTTTTTTATAAATTAAAGATTTCTCCCGACTCATTTATTGATTATATGGTTTGAAAACAGTGAATTCTTTATCTTGACGTTTAGAAGAATAAATGTTTGTGGTGGCATTTCACTGAGCCGTCCTCTCGCGAAGAAGGCTTGTATCAAAAGATACAGCGCGAGCGTTATTGGCGTGGTTGTTCCATTGTTGTATCGGTTTGCTCGCTGCCTAACAAACTTTTCTTCTTTTTCTCGCGGTTATGAAATCGGATCTCTCGTTTTTCAACCAAGCTACAGCAGAAGCAGCTTTCCCAACGTCGCATCCGATCCACCAAAAAGCATCTTATCGAGAAACTACACTCCATTTGTTGCATTACCGCCTGTCCTCTGTTCGCTTTTCTTTTAATTTCCGTTTCTCTGTGGCGCAGCGTACGCTGCTGCTGCTGACGTCGGAAGCCTTTCTTTTCTGCCCCTCTCTCGCCGATGATATGTATATAAGCCGTTAAAAGAAGAAGCTTGACTGATGTTTGTTTCGTTTATCTACATCGATTCGATACCTCAGCGTATACTCAATAACGGATATTCTGTTCAAACGACTCACCACTAATTAAATTTTCAAGCACACAACGGTAAATTTACGTATTTTCCGAAAATTAACAGATATTTAAACCTCGTCTGATGCTGTAAAGTCAGAGACGTGTATGCATGACATACCTTTATTGCATTCGATTAATTTCATTACATTCAAAGGTAGATCTTTGGCGCGTGAAAAAACTTCTACAGAAAAAAGGCAATTTAAAAAACAAAAGGTCGACGCGTAAAAAAATTCTTATCCTCTACTTATATTTTTTATTTGCATTTACATTTCAGTACGTGAAGGATGGAAAGCGGGGCGTATTGCTATCGCTACGAGCTGTAGTTATGAAACAATATTTCGACAGCAATGAGTAGTGTGTGTTTACTGAGAAACATTATTTTCAACGTCGTCTACGTGCAGATATCTCGTGGTTGAAGATCTTTCTGGCGCTGTTGCCACGCGCAGATATTTAATTATATATTCAAAAAGACTTTCTTTTGATGGGAAGAATAGAGATAGCAAGAATCTATGTACTGCATTAAAGAGCCCACATCGATCAAAAATTGAATTGAAAACACGCGTGTATGCAACAAAATTGTCTCGAGAGAATAAAAATAATAGAGCACCAGTCTATAAATCAACGATCGACAATAATAAATATAAGAAAGTACCTGCGCATGAAACCGCAAGCGCATCGATAGAAAGCGATAAATTCCTAATTTACTGTCCGCCGAAAATGTTAAATATAATTGTATTTGTTATCGTGGTCGGCCACATACAGGAAGAAGATCGAAGCATCTAGTAAAATCATAAAACGCACAATAACCAAGAGAAGAAGAAAGGAGAGTAACGAAAATAGAATAAGAGAAAAAGAGGATGTAATTTAGTCGTCCGGTAAACACCATGCACGCACACACACACACACGCGTGCGCGCGCGACGATATATACCGTCGTAAAACTTTAAAGAAAAAAGCATTCCCAGTTTAACATTACGAAAGAACTCGCGCGCGATGAAAATTTGAAATTTAACGAAGGGACGTATGCAATAATTTTTTCCCCACGATAACATTTTTTTCGCTCTTTATTTGACGCTAAAAGAAAAGAATACGCCGACTTTCTTCCTCTTTCCGAAAGCTTTAGCATGAAATTGAATTGATCTTTGTAGAGAATTTCTTCGGAGCAAAAATTCAACTGGAAAATATCGATATACAAAAAAACGCGATCAGATATCAACGTCGTGATTAAATTTAATCAAGAGAAAAGGAAATGGAGTTTCTTTTTACGATATTGTCAAAATTGAAAAAGAAAATCATCCTGTGAACGAAAAATTTGTTAATTACGTCAATGAAGCTGGAAAATCAAAGCAACTTTGTCTCTCTGTGCGCCTCTTGATCACGCGCAGAGAAAATATATCAGAAAGCTATTAAACAGAGGCATCGTTAACTGGTTGGATATATACTAATTCTCATGGCGGCTTAATGAGATGAATCGTGAAACGTGGAGAGAAAATGACGAGAAAGACCAACATGCGGTTGCAGTCCTTCGAAGGGATGCCGCCTGTGAGAACTCTTTACTCTCCCGCAATATAAAACCAATGGTATGCGGACTGCAATTGACTTTGCCTAGTCATCGTAAAAATTTTTAGTTTTCACTTGCTGTTTGTTTGTTTTTAACCGTGCAGCTACAGCGAGCCTGCACGTATGAGACATTTACGTAGAAGAATAAACCTTTTCAGGTTTATTCGCAGCGAGGAGTTATCTTATATATATATATATATATATATATATATATATATATATATATATATATATATATATATATATTATTATCATTATCATTATTATTATTATTATTATTATTATTATTATTATTATTATTATTATTATTATTATTTTATACGAACAAGTTCAGTTTATAAAACATTTAATAAAATTGCAAGAGAATTAACACTATATTTAATATAATCAACATGTACATAAAACATTTATTACAAGCAATTCACGCTGACAGATTAAAACTGTTTTACGAACCAAAATTAAATCTGATTTTTTTGTCGTTGGGTGAATATATATTGTTTAATTCATAATTAGTCTCCGCGGTAAGAAAAGAAAAGAAAAGCATCTATTTCTATTAATATGTCCATATCAAACACCCTTAACGAACTGTTAAATGTAATTTTGAACGAAACCATAATAAAATAGAATATAACTCGCATGAATTAAGTGGATTAGCTGATGTTATTGTGAAAAATATAAATTTTTTTTCCTACAGCGTAAAAAACATTGTATTATAGTTATAACATTATCATGATGAACATTTTTCCATCATATAGTACTCTGTCAATGCTTTTATTTTCTTCTTTTTAGGTCCTAAAATATCAATTAGTTGCCCTAGAAAGTTCTTCTAACGTAACACCTTATTTTTAGAAGAAAAAAGTGGTTTACCATGCATTCTTAAACATTAGAGTGAATGAAAATCATTATTTTTTTCTTTAAATCAGTACTCTGGATTGAGTAAAAGATTTTCGAAATAATTAATTTTACCATTTTTATAAGAGCTTTTCCAAATTTCTAAAAAAAAATTTTGAAAGATATTTGTAAAAGTTCTCATGAAAATGTTAAAACTAACTATTTCGAAAAATCCTTTCTTAATCTAAAGTAAATCTGATTTAAAGACAGAAAATGAGCCCTTCAAAACTGATTCTGGTTGACTCTAACGTTCAGAAAAGCGTAGTAAGCCACTTTTTGTCTAAAAATAGAACACTTAATTGAGATTTTGGAACTTCAAACGAAGAAAAAACGCTGCCAATCCATTGGTAGGTAGTTAGCTTCCTCTTTATATTTGTTGATTTCAATTAAGGTTTGTTTGAATTAATTTTTGTTTTATATTAAAATTTAACTATTTTTTACTACAAGATACAATTACAAAATACTTTAAAATTGATGGATAAAACCAAAACTAATCAAAAATCAAAAATTAAAAAAATTAAAAAATTACATTGTTTTAAATTTTTAGAGTAATGTTTCTTTAGAATCACATAAATTTTTTTTTTGCACTCTTCTTTTGGAAAAACAAATAGAAAACGCTCTCGCACGTCTAATTCTATTCAAAAGAACTTAAATTATTGATAGTTCCATACATGCATATTACACGCGCGCGCACGCACACACACACACACACACATTTTTCAAAAATGGTGTTTTATGATTTCTGACACCTCAAGCATACTTTCATGATGATTTTGAGGAAATTATTTGTTCACTAAAATAAAGCTTCCACTAGGAAGAAGCAATAAAAGCATTTACCGAGAACGTTAATATGAAAAAACGTTCAACACAACTTCGTTAAAATGGGTTTTACACCCTATAGTAAAAAAAACTTGTAATTTTCACTGTTTAACACCAGCTGATCCCCTTAATGAGTTATTTTGTTACATAATATTCATCTATCGATCAAAATTGAATATTTTCCACTTTGATAATTTTTTTTGTTTTCTCTCATATATACTGAATAATCTTTTCGAAAAATATGAAACACTCGTCATTGTACTGGGAACGTTGTGGGGAGAGAAAGAGAGAAAGAGCAAGCGCTAAATTCAAACGCAATCCCATTACGCTCACTATGCACCGCCCACACGCACA